CCACGGAAGAGCTACTTTCTGAAGTTGTCTTTATTAAGCCATTCCCAAAGAGGGAATATTAACATGTTCTTGTGCAAAGTAGAAGAATCGTAAATGGGCTGATTTATCTATATTATATCATGCTCATACTGTGCCGGAACAACATAGGGGGGAACTGCTGCTTTTTCTTTCCTCTTCCTTACTATCGTCATTTTCCTCTACTTTTTTCGTATCATGTCTGTCACTCTCTTGTGAACTGCTATTTCCGGGGTGCCTTGATAGTCGAAGCAGACTTTGTGCTGTTGAGGCTAGTGAGGTGAGCAGAGTAAGCCTGATCCCCCATTTGGACTTCTCTGTTGACATCCACCCCTTGGCGCCCAAATGACCTTATTAATATGCAGTTGCGAGCGCTGTAAAACCTTTCTAAAACTATTAGAATACCCGAGTTAGATTACGGTGTGGGGAGAATTATTATTATTTTATTTATTTTTTTTATTATTTTTTTTTGGGGGGGTATCTCGGTCTTTCTGCTGGGATGTTGTATCCCTCTCAGTCTCAGCCGGGGTTGACCCAGATAGGCGCGGGTGGCTGGAGGGCGCCACAATAGGTCTATTTCTTTACTTTTCCTCTGTTGTTTCTGTCTGTCTGTCTTATTTTTCCCCAGTAGCTAAACAATCAAGATCTGTATTTATGCTTCATTGATTATTCGAAGGCGTTCGATAAAGTTAGACCTGATGAGCTATTTAAAATACTGGAAAAACTAGACATAGGTAGAAAAGATCTAAGAATTATCAGGAATTTGTACTGGGACCAAAACGCTGCTGTACGAGTTAATGGAGAATACAGTGAATGTAAGCAGATAAGGCGAGGAGTGAGGCAAGGATGTGTTATGTCATCAGACCTCTTTAACATGTACAGTGAAACAATCCTTAGAAACATAGAAGAACGTTCATGTCTCAAAGTAAATGGACAAAAATAAAATATTAATAACATCAGATATTATGCCGATGACTCAATTTTAATAGAAATTTGAATTTTGTTTATTCGATTGTTTGTTTTGGTTCTGCTCAGTTTGCAGTATGCATAAACATTAAGGAGGTACTATTTATAGCCTCTCTGGGTATAGAGTAGTACAGAAAGAACAACATGTAGTGGTCTGATGCTATGAAAATTTTATTGATTCAAAATCGCGGTTAACGAACCTCGAGCAACGCTTATTCAAATATTTTAATCATAGAAAAACTCCACGTCACTCGTACGTCACTGGTATACATAAAACACAAATACACGTCAAACAACCTACTTCCAACCTAAGCCCCCCCCACACACACACACACACCACCCCTAATCTCACCCCCTTTTTATCTGCGTGTCCTCCAGACCTCGTACAACGTACTTCGTTATCTTCGATGCGTACGCTCGACCTGGTATTAACTCTTTAAGGTTGAAGCGGTCACATAATACGCACGATCAGCCGCAGGCTAAATATTGGCAATGTATGGTGGTAAATTTCCAACCATCACACACAAATTAGAAACACGAATTTGCATATATGTCATTACATGCATGTTCTTGTCTGTCTTTTTAAAAACAGAATCTAAAAAGATCTTCGTAAAAAATGGAAACGTACCAAAAATATTTGGTTGTGTAAAGCCTACAAACGAATGCTCCTCCCATCTTGATAAATGAAAGATAAGATTCAATATTAATTATTATTCTCCAGTGGAAACTATTTATAGTTTGACTTCACCAGCTTTTGCGACACAAAATGTAGACATTCGTAGCATCAAATCGGCGCACCACAATGATCTCTCTCTCTCTCTCTCTCTCTCTCTCTCTCTCTCT